ACTTATGCCACTACTAGTTCAACTGAGGTCTGTGCCTGGACTAGCACCAATTTCTACCACACCCAGTAATGGTAAGAAGATAAGTATTGCTAATTACTACTAGATCTAGACTATACATATTCAGGTGTTCAACTGTATCTACCTTATGAGGACAGGATGATACCTGATTACTCTATGATATATGGTAGCCAGTTTTATGATACTGATCAGAATAATGATAGTATTAGTGATGCTTTGTGGTGTCAGAGTGCTGACACTAGTGCTAATATTGGAGTGTGGTATTATCCTAATGGAACTGAGCTACCTTTATTTGATGGAACCTCTGATGATCTACTAGCTCCTAGTCCAGTGTTCAGTAAGAGATTTTTTGGTCAGATTGCACTAGCTAGAAATGGTGGACTATCAGGATATGAAGGTTTATACAAGTGTATCATTCCTGATGAGAATGGAGTGAATCAAACACTAGTGGTTGGAGCATATACTGATACTGGATACAATAACAATGGTATGTGATGAATATAGACTATAATTAATGTACTTCTTTTACAGATGGTCCTGATGCTGATCCTACTATGCAGTTCTCTCTCCTCTCCACTAGTAGATTAGCTACTCCTCCAGTCTTCAGTCTCAGTTTCAATGTCTCTAATAGTCCGCCTAGGACTATCAGCTGTTCAGTGAATGGGAATGGAATATCTACTGAACTGTCTCGTGTGATAGTGAATGGATCAGGATCTGTTACAAGAGTGAGAGTAACAGTGAGACTGAGAGAAACTGGTAACTATCAGTGTACTGTATTTAATGACAGAATCACTGATGGTATTAATGGTCGTATAGGGAATGTTCAGGCATTAAGTAGTACCACATCATTGACTTTATCAGGTTAGTATCATTTATTATTTATTTATAACTTTTTCTGATACAGTATCTGATACTCCAACTGGTTTAACTGCTACAAGATTAAGTACTGGTTTAGCTCATGTAAGACTCTCCTGGTCTACTGTATCAGGAGCTACTGGTTATGAGGTCTACTATCAACTGTCTAGTAATACTCCTGTTAGTGCAGGCACTACTGCTTCAACAACAATCAATATAACATCAGGATTGTTTCAAGGACTTACATACACTTTCTATGTAGTATCTTATAGTTCAACTTCTCTACCTAGTGGTGATGCTTCAGTTATGGTGACATTTAGTAAGCTATCGTTATTTTAATTAGCAGATGTACATGTGCATGTATAATATTATTGTAGGTAATTCAATTGTTAATGATCTTATGGGTACTGTAATTACAAATTTTGCCATTACATTAACATGGAGTTCACCAACTGCTGTAGTGCCAGATAGTTATAATATTAATAGGAGATGTAGGAGAGTATGTGAATCATCACTCACTAGTAATAGTGAAACATCAGTTTCATCACCACATACTTCAACTGGTATACCTCCTTACAGTCAATGTGGCTTTGATCTTATTGGAGCATATGGAGCTGAGATAACATATTTGACTACTAATTATGTAGCTACTACTACACTTTCAACTGGTAATCAAGTGAACAATTGTTATTTTTTTATTACCCTTTCTTGTGGCAATAGCTCCTACTGCACCAGTGGGTGATATTATATTCTCATCAGTAGAGTCAGTGTCAATGACTGTCTCATGGGATGAAGTACCTTGCAATGGAAGGAATGGACCAATCACTGGATACTACCTCACATACACTAACATCACTTCAAACACTAGTTATACTGTTAATATCACTGGAGGAGACAACAGAATGTATAATCTCACAGGATTAATACCATATACTAACTATACTGTGAGTATAATACCTTATAATTATAATATGAATGGACCAGCTAGACAAGAAATACAATTAACTACTGAATCAAGTAAGTCAATGAGATATTGATCAGTTTAACATGATCTTAACACAGTTCCTGGTGTGATAACTGATTTATTACATGCAACATCACCAACTGTAATCAGTATCATATGGAATCCTACAATACCTAATGGTATCATTACAGTATATGAGATAAGATATAGAGAGTCTACCAGTACTGGTCCATACAATATAACTAACACTACTAACACTTATTACAGTATAGTAGGATTAATACCTAATACTAGTTATACTATTGGAGTGAGAGCATATACTAGTATTGGACCAGGAGAATGGACTGATAGAGAAATTAATACTTGCTCAGATACGTAAGGAAGTATAATCTCCTTTTGTTGTTAATCCTATTTTAGCTGTCATTGAAACTTTTTCTATAACAAAGCTCAATTCTACAGCAGTGAGGGCTGAGTGGAGTTTTGTTTCTGGAGCTAGTCATTATACTGTCTATTATGAGTCAACCAGTAGCTCCTCAAGAAAGAAGAGACAAGTAGAGACAGGAATGAGAGTATTCCCAGGTGGTACTACTGAAGGTCTAATAGGAGGATTAGATCCTAATCTGAACTACTTGTTCTCTATATCTATATCATATAATGTTAATGGAATTATTTATGAAGGAGAGAGGACTCAACCAATACCACCAGGTTATACTATAATGAGTCATTCCATATATGTGTATACTAATAGATGTATGTAGTCAGTTTATTTTAAAGTAATGCCATTAAATATGAGTAAACATATCACTGTTGATGCATGTACTAATCAGTTTATGTTTTTAGTTACTTATTCTACTGAAACAACTATCATGACTACTCCATTGACTACTGTATCAACTACTGTATTAGTGAATAATGGAGGGAATATTGGAGTAATAGTTGGTCCAATTGTAGCTCTTACTGTATTATTAGTATTGGCTATAATTATAATTATTATACTGGTACTGGTTATGCACATAAAAAGAACTAATATTAATCAAAAAAGGTAAATGTGAACACATTCATTACTGAATTAATTTTAAAATCGATAGAAAATCAGATAATGACATTGTAATGGAGTGCAGTCCAGCTTATGCTACAGCTGAATTTAAAACAAAGTTAGTTACACTATTGACTATTACATTATGTCTATACACACACACACATACAGTACTGCTGATGATATACTAATGAAGGATAGTCCAGCATACAGTACAGTGCAACAAACACAGTCAGTTATATAAAATACAATTATTATTATTATTTAAAGTTATTATTAATAGATTAACTGTTGAGCCAGTGTATGATACAACTAATAATGAATATGAGACTCCTCTTCCACCACCTGCTGAATATGAAATACCAACTGTATAATAATGTACTCATCTTTTATTTACACTCTTTGTGTCACAATCAACTACAATTAGATATAGAATTTATAAGCACTTTTTGTCATTAACAAGTTATGTTTTCAAGCAAACAGTACATAATTTACCTTGCGTGTGTCACTAATTTAATGTTTATTCAATCTAGTGTTTATAACGCTCATAGCCATAACCAAACGCATTACTGCATTAGACTATGTTATGTCAACAACTCTTACTTTCAAAAGTTATCCTAATGCATATAAAGTCATATAAAAGATTACTTTAGAGGCTATATGATTATGTCAATCTTTGCTCTGTGATTCTGAAAACATACGTAAGTATCATTAATGATGAGCTAGCTACTATTTGTTTTTTATAGACAGGTGAAAACAGAATGATACTGGTAACCATTTACTTTTTTGTTTTGCTACTACTTCAGCTAGGAGAAGGAATGGGACAAGAACCATTTTCTTTCATTCGACCCAAAATAGGTATAAAATATAATGTACCGATTAGTAATAGATCAGATGTTAACATAGGTATTCAACTGTACCTACCTGATGAAAACAGGATAATACCTGATTACTCTATGATATATGCTAGCCAGTTTTATGATGTTGATGAGAACAATGATAGTATCACTGATGCTTTGTGGTGTCAGAGTGCTAACAATGGTGCTAATATTGGAGTGTGGTATTATCCTAATGGAACTGAAGTACCTTTATTTGATGGAGAATTTGATGACTCATCAGCTCCTAGTCCATTGTTCAGTAAGAGATTCAGTGGTCAGATTGCACTAGCTAGAAGAGATGGACTATCAGGATATGAAGGTTTATACAAGTGTATCATTCCTGATGAGAATGGAGTGAATCAAACACTAGTGGTTGGAGCATATACTGATACTGGATACAATAACAATGGTATGTGAAGAATATAGACTATAATTAATGTACTTCTTTTACAGATGGTCCTGATGCTGATCCCACTATGCAGTTCTCTCTCCTCTCCACTAGTAGATTAGCTACTCCTCCAGTCTTCAGTCTCAGTTTCAATGTCTCTGATGGTCCTCCTACTACTGTCAGTTGTTCAGTGAATGGGAATGGAATATCTACTGAACTGTCTCGTGTGATAGTGAATGGACCAAGATCAGTTACAAGAGTGACAGTAGCAAACTTAAGAAAAGCTGGTAACTATCAGTGTACTGTATCTAATGACAGAGTCACTAATGGACCTATTAATGGTAGTAGTGATAATAATCCTCCTACTGCAGTTGCTAATACTTCATCATTAAATGTATCAGGTTGGTGATTATTAACAATAATAATAATTATTATTGGATATATTTTCAGTATCTGATACTCCAACTAGTTTAAATGCTACAAGATTAAGTACTGGTTTAACTCATGTAAGACTCTCCTGGTCTAATGTATCAGGAGCTACTAGTTATGAAGTCTACTCTAAGCTAGATCATTACTATTATACTCCTGTTAGTGTATCCAACACTAGTTCAACAACAATCAATATAACATCAGGATTGTTTCGAGGGTTTAGATATATTTTTTATGTAGTATCTTATGAATCAGATTCTCTACCTAGTGGTAATGCTTCAGTTATGTTAACATTTAGTAAGTGAGTA